GAACCCTGACAGATATATTTATATTAAATAGAGTTTAATGTAAAGTACAATAATAAGCCTCTAAGAATTCTATTAAGAATCGCAAGGCTCAACGAGAGCAAAGAATAGTCATGGAACTATCAAGCATCATTCGGAACCACTAGGACGTCTGGTGTCCCCATCACCACCTCACAGCCCGATTTCTATGTTAACACCTCACCCCAATCCACACCGCCAGTTTCACCAAAAAACCATCTTCCCTGATTCCAAAATTTTGGCACTCACTACAAGAATTTTGACAAAATATGACAAAAAAAATTGTCATATAAACTTCAAATTTTGTCACTAAAACTTTTAGACGACGAGTTATGATCGTCACATGGATCGTCATCGTAGCTCCGTGGCAAAAAGTATAACATGACACTTGTTAAATTCGTCATTATATAACAATTATTTGTGACACTTCTGGTCTTTGTCATGCCTATTTGTCACTTTTAATGACGCTAAATTTGTCACTATTACATCGTTACCTTTGTCATCTAAATATAAATTTCGTCATCTATAGCTAATGCAATAAGTGACAAATTTGTTAATTGTCATCAAAATGTAACATATTGTGACAATTGAATACTACGCCCAAAATCAATTAATTATAGACAATAAATTGTCACATTTAATATATTACTCATTACGTCATTAATTATAGTTATTTTAGTTATAATTTTATCATCGCATATAAGTTTTAACAATGACAATAAAAAGTTTTAGTCAACAAAATATTGTACAACGTGACAGGATTAGTTGCCGTCATCGTACATAAATTTCTCCGCTTTAAATATATCGGAGTATATAATTAAAATGTATCACAATTTACTATGTAACCACATGATTAGCAGCAAATATGTCATTGTCACTCGTTAATGCAAATCTGAAGCACATGAATATCATTACTGCTATTTCATTATAACCTGTCGTTGGGGCTCAAGTTCTAAGACAAGCCTATTTTACGAAAAATGTAACTTACAAAAAATAAAAGATGGTTTGTATAACCATGCAAATTATTTTACAACCTTCTGGAAGAATTAATAAAGTATAGTGATGTGCAAACAACTTTAATTTAAAAGAAGCCTAGTTGAGATGACAATAACGTCCTTCTAGGGTGGAGGTAACACACTCTAGCTCCTCAATGACGAAAAAATTTATGTCTTTCTCTGGTCATCTTCTTAACTGGCAGAGGTTACTCGAATGAAAAGACTTCCAAAGCACAACTGCAATAGCTATGAATACAGTTTCTGCCTTCCATGGCTACAAAATTAGCATTGTAAAGAAGGGAAAATATTATGAACTCATCAAAACATTTAACAAGTTATCAAATAGAAAATGTAGTTTATAATGATATAGCAGATTATTAAAGGCCTTGAACAAGAAAAATAAGGGAAAATTAAAGTACATGTCAAGCCATCTCATACCTTTTCACTATGTCAAATAACAATCCACTGATTTGAAAGAATACAAGATGTAGTTACAGTATTTATCTTAAGAAAAGGAATCCTGCCATTTCTAAATTACAGTACAAAACAAAGAAAAGCAAAACAAACATGAGTTTATCAACATCAGTTCCAGGTGTTAGCTGCATTAAAGAAAACGTGAGCACCAAAGAAGCCTTGATACTTTACAAATCAACATAAAAAGTAACAAGAATCAGATATCTTGCTACCAAACAGAAATATCTTGCTACCAAACAGAAATTCATTAATAATTTCTCATTCACTGAACTAGAAGACAAAACATGACATTTCCTCCAACAATTATGTCATCTAAGTTCATAAAACATTGCGAGTCTGTCGTTTCTCATTAGGTAATTTTCACATGGAAATGTTGCAGCTTAACATCAGGCTTTACACACTATAAGCCCATCAACTTACAGGTTCAAAAAGTGCAGCCAGATATCTCTAATGACAATAACATGTGCATGGATTATAATGGCGTTAGGATAAGTTTGCTTCTATCAAAAACTCATATAAAGATAGATCACATCCTATTCACATGTCACTATGACTAGGTGAAGATAAAGCCAGAGGATACATAGATTACAAGGACATACCTGTATGCCGGGGCTTTAGAATTTACAACCGAATAATTTTTTCTGCATTTTCAAAGGCTGCATATGATTTAAAACAAAAGATAAGTAGATATAGTACAATATGAATAAACTTTTCTCATATTTCCGTTGACACATTAGCAAGTGCCTTCAAGTTACCCAATCATTAATACTATAATAAATAAACTCACCTATTTGATTTCTGGTTTTCATAATCATATGTAATTTTATTTATCGATTTATTAATTGATGATTTTAATAAACCATTTGAATAAGGTTTTGGTTGAGGAGAAAATAATACACATGCTTTAAATGTGTATACGAAGTATTATTTTTCTTCAAACAACATCAGAATGTCAAATTATATTTTGAATACAATAAAATCAGACATAAATAAGGTTTTCATTTTGTTGACTTAGTACTAAACCAATAAAAAAATCACGAAAATTAAACATTATAAAAAAGACTCTTTGTAGAACCCTAATTATATTCTACTATTGAGTAAAAGCTTAAATGCATAGACCGAACAACAAAAAACAGAGTATGACTAAGAAGAGATGAAAGTGATTATGAATAGACCTAGAAATTGATTACTAATAGTGTTGGAGGTGCGACGAAGGACTTCCCTGCTGCCGTACGAATTCAAGCTAGAAGACCAGTGTCTAGGAGACCAGCGGCTCCAACCCCCTCAGATTGTGAGGTCTCACTACCTCAAGGCCCTCAGCGATAGCTCCGTTTCCGCCGCCGACTAATATATGTAGTTCTCGGTACTAGGTTCTGCCGTGCGAATCGCAACCCAAAAGCAGAGCCGCTGCTCACCTCTTGTTGTGTTCCATCTTCATGCCCCAATGGCGGAATCGATTGGCTGCGTGAGAATTGAAGCAAAAAACGGAAATACATAGGGTTTGTGAATGAGTTGGGTTTGCCGATAAGGAAACGGGGTTGTGACGGAGTGTTTGTGGGAATTTTGGCTCAAGGGGAGGGAATTCTAAAAAGTTGGATATGGGGAGCCGCCGGGGAGGGAGTGAAAATTTTGCTAAGTACTCCGTATTTTTTAGGTTTGCTGCTTGCCCAACATTTTTTTGAACTATTTTCATCTTCATGCATCAGTACTTATTTTGTGTTTTGGGCCTTTGGTGATGAATTTTGAAAATGATTATTTGTATATATTTCTTGTTCACATCATCTTAGTTGCCTGTACACAAGTATCTCGTTCAGAAATTTATGTGTACACAGATATAATTAGGCAGTGTTTACAAGAAATGTGTATAAGTAGTATCAATGTACCATCTCTTGAATTTTAGTGATGGAACTAATTCAGTCGTTATTCCCTGACAAAAATTACTCAAGAAATGTATATAAGAACCCCCATTTCTCTTTAAACTCGTTAACTATCTGTCATTATATTTGTCACGTCACTAATTTCAAGAATTCTTGTAGTGTATATATATATTGTGTACAGACATATTTGTCATTATATCTTGCACAACTACATTACATCTATAATCATAATAATAATACATTACTACTACTACTACTACTACTACTATTATTACATTTTATGTAATTTTATTTTACAATGTTTTTGTTAAAATGTTAAAATATGACTTATTAGCAATATTTAGTATCAAAAGCGAGCTTTAAGTAAAAAATTGTCATTATTTTATTAAATAAATAATTTTGATTTTATCATTATTAATAAAATGATAGATAAGATATCACAATGTCAATGTCATTATCCATTATGATTTCATTTTGTTCTATAAGTTTTGCTCTCACTTTTGAATGAAAATATTTGTTAAAAACTAAAATATGACAACTTTACGTTTATCGTCATCAAAAGGTAATATCAACGACAAAAAACAATTGTCATTACTTTACAAAATAAATATTGAAAAAATATGATATTGTCGTAATAATTAAAAATTATGTGACACAAATTATCGTCATTAATTGTTTTAAAAATGTCATCAAAACAATCCCCTCCATATATTTGGCGTCAAATTTTGACACAAATATTGACATAAACTTTAAGTGACGAATTAGATCTTATTGTCACAGTAAACATCAATTAGTGATGAAATATAAGAATTAAAGTGACAAACAATAATATTGTCATAATAAACCATTTTACTGTGACGAATTTATGTTTTGTAACTATTAATGAATATAATATGACAATTTTTTGTGTGTCACACATATTTTCGTCATAAAAGGTGTGATTTCTTGTAGTGACTCTTTCATTTCCCCGAAGTATTCAAACTCCACAACTCAACATTCCTCCCTTATATCAGCATTTCCAAAATACTTCTACTACTCTTGAAATTACTTTTCAAAATCAAACTTTTGGGATGCAAGGAGCAAGTCAAAACATGACGACACTAGAGTCATTGTAGTGTGCCTCAAAATATATACAATACTCGCACTAATACCATAGTATAGCGTAGTACGGTTCGTATCCGCAGGGAAAAGGAATAGTTCTCTTTTAATGAAATAGTAACAAGGGGTTTTTAAGGTTGTCGTTGAAACTTATGTATATTTAAACACTAATTTGAACAACTTATGTGGTTTACTTGATTATAGATGAAGACTTGGAAGTTGTTCTCTTCACCTGATCTGAATGTTTCTAATCTGATCTGATCTGAATTTTTCTGATCTGATCTGAACCTTTCTGATCTGATCTGAATCATTCTGATATGGTCTGATCTGATCTGAATCTTTTTGATCTGATCTGAATCTTTCTGATCTGATCTGAATCCCTTCTGATCTCATTTGAATCTTTATGATCTGATCTGAATCCCTTCTGATCTCATTTGTATCTTTATGATCTGATCTGAATACCAATTATGTTAAAAATATGGTACCAAAATTTTATAGCATAGTTGTTATTTGAGAAGTTGAGAGTGTACTCATATTGAGAAAATAAACCAATGCTTATTGTCAGGGGCGGAACTACGTAGCTGTTACCAAAGAAAGATCAGTTAAAGATTTCTTTTTAATTTTTTTCATTCACGATATGTAAGCTCTCATCAAGATGTCAAATTAAATCAGTTAACGTATGAGAATTGTGAAAAATCCCCATACCGTACCAAAGTGGTTAAAGTAATTAATTAGAAACATCAAGAAATTTAAGGTGGAATTAAATAATTAATACATCGTTTAAAAAAATTAATGTAACCATGCTGTCGTACGTATTTCAATGCGAAAATTATGCACTGACATTTACAAATTAAAGCAATGCTTCATTCAAGCATCCATTAGTAATAATATTACATCAAAAATCACGAGAGGCTAATTATGAATTTTGTTTATGATCTGTGAGCGGCAGAGAGGGCAAGAAGGGTTCTTCCGCAGCCAAGTGCAAAGGCAACGGTTGTGAAAGTACGACCCCGCCGCAATATGATTGCACGTTATCACCCCGTTAAACATCTTGCTCTTCTTATTTGCCCTCCGCATCTCCGCCGTCATCTCCTCCATGCAAATAACGCAGTGATGATTGCCGCCGCCGTCGTCAATGTCGGCGTTCTTCCTCTTCCTATCCAACGCCGTCCTCGTACCTCGGACAACGGCGTTGGCATCATCATCGTCCGCCGCCTCCACGTCATCGTGCATCGGAAACGATAGTATCTTGACAAGAATCTGGTGACGCCGACGATGATCATGATCATTCTCAGCGATTTGTTGCCGCGCTTTTTGGATCACTTCTTTTGTGATGGCCAGTAGGGTTTGGCAATCAAGAATGTGGCCCCACTTGGGTAGAATCGCCGATAACATTGAAAAGCGACCCTCGTTGCTAAGCTGACGGCAAACGGTAGTGATTGAGTCCATCTGGAATGGGGATGTGTACAGGATGAACTTCACATACACACAGTCGCGAGGCAGTCCGGCTGACGCCGTCGTTGAGGCGGCGCTCCGAGGACGATCACACACAGTGTAGACTGTGAATCTCATATCCTCGTTCTCCATTATCTTTCGGTCAAAGCTTCGCTTGAAATTGGAATCAAAGAAGTGAATGAAGGAATATTAGGGGGTGATATCGAATCTGATTTTGAATCATCGGATGTAATGTACGGAGTATAAATAATAGTCCATAATTAAACCGACATTATGTATTTTAACCGACCTAGTTTTTTTTGGGGAGAAACCGACATAGTTAATATAATTGAAGTTTAATTTAATACTACGGAGTAATATCAACCCTACTTAATTACCTTGTGCTTTAATTTGATATTGATGCATTACTACGTGCGTGGGTAGCTCAAGTGAGTGTGAGTGAAGTTATTGAATTGAGGTCTCATGTCCAATTTCGGGACATCCGTTTCGGGAAAGTGTGACCAACTTTAAGCGACGGAGGTAGTAGGTTGTAAATGAATCAAATAATTAATACTCGATTCGGGATTCGAATATGCATAAGACTATTTGAATTAGAAAAATTCAAATACAAATAAGAATACTAAATTTCATTCGAATTGTTATCAAATACAAATACCAATATCAGTGTATTCGATTCGAATGTTAATCAAATTATATTCGATTAATAATAGTGATAATATTAATAACAATATTTATAATAATAGTAATAATACTATAATGAATTATGAAGAAGTCTTAATGAATGGATGAATATATTTACACTTGTGTTACCGGCACGCCTGGTTGAAAAACTTAACCTTAATGAATTAATAAATCTATTTATAATTAAAAATAAAAAGAATAAAAAAATTCCAAAGCTCTAGTTTCCGCTGCCTTATCCGGCACAGTGGCACTCCCGGTGAATGTCTCATATTTTTTTGAAAAGAATAGTTGTCTTCAAATTGCGAGTAAAACATACATGGATGCAATTGACAGTCCTTAATTATTTGAGAAATCATGTTGGGTTGTCCTCAATAATTAATTTAAATAATTGACAGTCCTTAAAACATGGATGCACCTGTACTCCTATTTAAATAGTTTTCTAAAACAAAAGCACTAGGTATGCTAAAACGAAGAAAATATTCACATGTTTCCCATTATTGATGAGGTTCAGAAATACATTTCATTCAAACAGTTAACACACAAAACAAGCATAATTCTCTTATTTTCTACCTAGCTATATACTTCACCTCCCTTTCACAAAGAAGGCCTTGAACTTGTTTGGGTCAAAGAGCGGACGGAAACAAACCTATATAGGATTCCACAAAGAGAAGAAAATGTAAAGCTAGAGGAAGAGAGAGAAAAGGAAACGAGAAAACAATGAATTATTGTTACTTACTTCATGTGCTTAAATATTCTCTAACGATTTATGATACGTACGTTGGAACCGAATGTTCAAAAGTTAAAAGCTAGCTAACGGAGGAGACCTCCAATGGGATCGCATTGATCTGCAATAAGCAATAACGCGATTGCGCATATATGTGCAAATCAATGCGATCCCTTTGGACGTTTACTTCTGTCGCTATGGAAACCATGAAAGTGGTGAATTTGTGGGTGAGCATACATTGAGAATATATGCACTAAAATGTAGATACACTTCCGATGCTAGGAAGCTCTCCTTATATAGTGCTTAAGATCAACTGTACATGCATTAGGGGTCATTTTTCAAAGTGTGATATACTTTTTTAATACATATTTTCCCCCTATATATTGATCAGATTTTCGGTTTTGTTAGAGTAAATTGGTGGATCCCAATCTCAGCTCGCATACCATAATTGACCAAATCTCAGATTTTCGGTTTTACCCGGCCGTCATTGGTCGGCCACCCAGCCCAGTTTTGGGAAATTTCAAACTTGTTCGAAGGTAAAAAGAAAATATACTCCGTAGATATAACGCTAGCTATGGTAGGACGAGGCTAGGGTTACGTCAAAAGTGAGAAAATTGTAATTAAATTATGTCTGATTTACTACCAGATTATTGGGATAATTTTCCTGAACAATTAATTGTCAATATACTAGTATATAGGACTGAATGTTAAAATATTTGGGAGATTTACCTAAATAGAACTAAATAAAAGTATAACTGCAACAATAGGAGTTTAAACTATAAATTCCCAAAATACGACCAACTCTTCCTATTCTACCCTTTCCTTTGTCCTTCCTAATAATATTTTTTAAACAATCATTATAAAATAAAAAAAACTAAAATAAAAGGTCAAAATCTAAAAAAAAAAAAATATACAAACCTCAACCACCACCTCAGCCACCTTCCAGCACCGCCACCTCCGATCACAGAAAAAGATTGCCAAGTTGGGGGGAAAATGTCATTCATGATGGCAATTTTGAAGAGAAAGCTGGATATTTTCAAAGAGTAAAAACGTCATCTTCATGGCATTTTCAGGAAAATGTGACATTTTTACACAAGATGACATTTTTTTCGGCGACCGGAGCTGGTAGTGCTGGGAGGTAGAGGAGGCGTTGACAGTGACCTGCATATTTTTTAAATATTTTTTATGTATTTTATTTTTCAGACTTTTTAAAATATTTATTTATTTATTTTAAATTTTTCTATGTTTATTTTATTTTTTCACGTTTTAATTATTAATTAATAAATATTTCTATTATGTTTTAAATTTTTATTATAAATAAAACTATGATTTTCTTATTAATAAAATAAATTTATTGGAAATTACAGGAAGAGGGTAGAATGAGAAGAAGGGAGATATATTAATCCTATTTTGGGAATAAAGGGATTGTACTCCTATGTAGGGGTGGGAAAAACCGAACCGAAACCCGGAAACCGACCCTAGCCCGGCCCGAAAGATATTTCCGGTCCAGGTTTTTTTATTTAACCGGCCCGAATAAAAAAACCCGTACCGAACCCGAAAATTCGGGCTCATAAGCGGGCCCTAAAATCTATAACCCGGCCCGGACCGATAAAAACCCGAAACAATTAACTTTAATATAAAATCAATATATTATACAAATAGAATATATAAATAATTCCTAATATATGATTATAATCACAGTGGATGAAAACATGACCTAGTGACTTTTAGTGACTAAAAATATGTTCAATTTGTTTACCATAATGACCATGGAAATATATTTATTAGTAAATTTAGTCACTTTTTTATCCATAAGTTTTATTCCGTAATATTTTTAGAAAACCTATATTATTTATTTATATGCATCTTAAACAAATTTTTAAGATAATTACCTTCTTTAGATTTGAATTGTTGATTATTTTGGAGACTAATATTTGTGTTATTATTTGCGGCTTGTGTTTTTTAATTGTTTTATTTAAAAATGGGTTTTAAAATATAAAAACACAATGAGATTTCACATTCGGGCTTTAACCGGCCCAACCCGAACCCGGACCGAACCCGGTCATAAAAAACCCGACTCGGACCGAATACAATGGGCTTTGTTCCGGTCCTTAATTTTCATAACACTAGTGCAAAATCGTTAATCAGAGGCGCTTCAAATGGCTCACGTGCGGCGCTTTGAAGCGCCTCTAAAAAATGTGCCGCAAATCTCAATTGGAGGCGCTTTTTAGACTGGAAGCGCCTCTAATATTTAAAAAAAAAAATAATTTCGGAAGTTTGCGGCGCTTCTGACAGTAAAAGCGCCGCACACGTGATTGAAATAGAGGTGCTTCTGATGAAAAAAGCGCCTCCAAAATGCTACGTAAACTGAATTAGAGGCGCTTCTGACGAAAAAAGCGCCTCCAAAATGTGCTACGTAAACCAGTGGCGGATCTAGCAAAAAGTTTTATTGGGGGCAGAATAATCAAAACATACATCAAAAGAATAAAATTTAATAAAGTATTTGTTCAATATAGAAGTCTAAATGTTTGTGTATTCCTAAATAGAGTTGTCATCAGCGGCGGACTCAGGAATTTTCGATTGGCGGGGTGACAGTGTTAAAAAATACATATAAATTCATATATATTAAAATTTCGGGGTAAATATACCTAGAAAAAAAATTGCAGGGGCGGCGGCCCCCAATTGCCCCTGCCTGTGTCTGTCGCTGATTGTCATGTTTTTTCGCTAAATATGAGTAATTACTGTCATATTTTGACAATACTAGACTTTAAACATGATAATATTTACCAAACTTGATAATAATTACTCCAATCTATAGAATAAAACATGATAGTCCTATTTTGAAATTCTCAAACATTTTTACTCCTATTTCGGGAATTTTCCCTCTTGTTTAGAAAATTTATTTTTCTAATAAATGTAAAAGATTAGACTCCGATAGATGTATAACTATTTCAGTTAAATCATCTATTATTATTATTGCAAACTTTCTTAACTTATTATAGATTCTGTTCTATAATAAGGCTAACATTCTTGAAATAGGATGAGATTCGAATATGTGACCTTATTGGGAGTGTCACAGTGATGTCATCATACCACAAAGTCTATTGGATTTACATAAAAAACCTTACATAAAATTAATAATTACATTAGATAAGTTTAACGACATTATCTATCATTTTTTATTTATATAAAGAGTAATATATGGCTTTAGAGTTTAAACAAATAAACAACACAAATGTCATACAAGGAGAGGACCAACCCAATAATGACCAACATAACTACTCAAAGTGCAACACTCTAATACCGTAGTATCGATCAAATTGATTAATTGATTAATGATTTAAAAATAAAGTGATATAAACTGAGACTGACCTCTTGTCTGATATAAAATCCAGTCGTAACCTTTAAGTTCAGTCAGTCGTTTCGCTGTTTTGGGTGAAATTCATAAATTTATGCCTTTGGAATTTGGATTGGGGCGGCTGGGCAGCAGAGTTATTATTGGGGGCAATTCATTTTTTTAATTGGGGGCAAATGCTTAAACTTCTAATATTTACTAATAATTTATATGGTTTTACTAGGCTTTTATTGGGGGCAGCTGCCCCCACACCATCCTTGCTACATCCGCCCCTGACGTAAACTGAATTAGAGGCACTTCTGACGAAAAAAGCGCCTCCAAAATGTGCTACGTACACTGAATTAGAGGCGCTTCTGACGAAAAAAGCGCCTCCAAAATGTGCTACGTAAACTGAATTAGAGGCGCTTTTATCATAAAAAGCGCCTCCAAATTTCATTATTATTTTTTATATATATTTTTAAAATACTATATAACCTGTTTTATTTACAGATCCATTGTCAACCAATTCAAAAAAACACATTCATTCATTCATAAAACCAGAATAACGATAAAATTGTTTCGCACAAATTCAATTCAAAAGGTACAAATTTGTATCACATTATAATAAAACACATTCAAGTTTGGCTCAGTTCTAATGTCATAACACTTCATCTACAAAAAACCTAGCCCATACTTTTCTAATGTCATCAAACTCCTCCGTTGTATATGGCTCAGTTCTTGCATTCCAAACCTGAAAGTAATCATACAAATATAAATAAAATAAGTAATGATAAACTAAATTATACTATCGTATATAAGTAAAATGATTTAATGAAATCCACCTATTGAAGTATATATAATTTAAATACATGTGCAATATCTGAACTTCCAACGGAAGTTATTATTTCCCAAATAAACTTCATCACATAATATCCACATTCTATGTTGCCCGTTTGTCTTGCACACTATATATTAGATGAAAAATATACATTATTATTTTATAATATGATATTTTTTACATTAAAGCATAACTTATGTAAATAAGAGAAGATATATGACGAAAGTACCTTCATATTATGCCATTTGATCGACTTGCCACGACCCTTTTGTGTAGACGCAACTCTATACATCCTATAATGATAATTAAGCTCAATGTATATATATATATATATGCTCAATGTTGACATACAAGTATAAATGTTAAATATAAATGTTAAATATCACAACTAAATCATTAAAAATACATACATCGTAAGATTTTTTTGAATAGCAATATTGGAATAACTTGGCAATGAATTGAAAATATAGCCCTTATCAACCTTTGGACAAATTACAAACAAAACCCAATGATACCTATATTTCCAAAGAGAATAGAAAATGGGTTAATATTTCATATGTCACGATCAATAAATATAATATGTAAAAGCGAATGTAATATATGAATCATACCCTTCATTATATGCCAAGAGAATGATATTCTTTTCAAACATTTCAGTCAGAGCATGCTTCATGTAAGTCAGTGTGCCCTTTTTATCCAAGTTATAATACTTAAAAGAACAAATCCAAGGACACAAAAGACCCACATCATCACGACCAAACTCAATCAGTTTTGCATTTACACAACTACATGCATGTGAAATTATAATATTAATAATTAGGTAATAGTAATTAAGTCTAACAAATATTCAAGAGTGCTTGTAAACTTATTATAATACTTACAACATAAAGGTCTGAATAATTGAAAGATCAACAGAATCACTCTCAAGAAATTGACTCAAGTCTTCACGGTCAACAACGGTCCCAAATTGGTGATCATCAATATAACAGAACAACTCCGCAGGAAGAGGAATAGAAAACTTACAAAGATCGGGCTCATACCACTCAAGATTTTCATGCAATCTTAAAAGATCATCTGTAAGTGAATGAAGAACAGTTTCACTGACCAATGAATGTGAGCTGGGTTCAACTGTTACTTTTGGTGAATCTCTCACGATAAAGGGTACTTTTTTCTTAGCTCCATCCTCCTTTTTTGACTTAGACGGTGGTTCCTAAAATAATTATGACATAAAAATGTATGAAAGAATTTCATATCGAAATAAGCAACAAAAGTAAAAAATATGAAACAATAACTTCATTACCTCTCCCTCAAAAAAAAAACCAAATGAGATGGCCATTGAACATATGAACCTATAGCGTCTGCTAAAACATTCATATCAGCGGCTTCATTAGGATAAAGCAATGGACAGTCTTCAAACTCTCGATATGCCATACATATGTTCACTTTGATTGTGTTTTCACACATCGGTACATTATGGATTAACGACCCAGCAAGCGTGTTGTAGGCTACATGCAGCCATGGCCACAAAGTCCAAACTCTTATCACCATGATGAGTGTGTGACTCAACAACAAGCCTACAAGATGCACCATCCTGCATGTATGTATGTACACATACAAATGAAAAATAAAACATTTTCTACATAAATAATTAATAAAATGTTACTTACAATGAATGTTTTTTTAAGATGGGGTGCAGCAGAGTTCATAGTATCCACGTGGGCCGCCTCGGAAGCAGGCATTGAATCCCCGATAGGCACTTCACTTCTTGGAACAAAGTAATGTTGCATGTCTTTCATCAAACGCTCTTGCAACTGCTTTAGGTCAACATCACTCAAATTACCAACCTTATCTCGACGTGTGCTTCTCGACTCTCGATCAAAGACATGTGTATAACCCACACCACCACCGACGCCACATGCACGTCCAGGGTAATCAGGCTTCCCAACAACCTCCGTCAATATATCATGTCGACCACTTGGCTTCCACGTTCCTGCTGCTAGATCTTCTTGAAGTTTATCCTAGTACAGAAGCAATAGAATTTAATGTTAAAAAATAAACATGATTTAATTATATGAGCATACATATACTAACTATAACTTACCAACTTCTCTTTTTTCTCGCGCATGCCCTCAGTATTACCAGGAAACACGATGTGACCGCCCGATGTTAATCCAGACCTTGCACAAAACCAAGTGACATGTCTTGGAATATCACCAGAAGTGGTTGTGCTAGAGTTCGTTGAATCTACTTCTGAACCGGTAAGAAACTGATCTAATAATCCTTGCTCTTTCCATTTCGGTATGGAAAGAACATATCCTGAACGACCCATATGATGAGGATAGATATTCTGAAGTGCAGCTTGTTTATTCTTCTCGCTCAAAGCCTATTCAATGTTTCATAAATATTAAACAACTACTTAATTAAAATATTGAAATTTTTTAATTCTATGACGTACCACAAACTCAGGAGTCATAGTCTTTGCCACGAAACTATCCCACTCTTCTTTGGTAAGTTGGTCTTTATACTTCTCAAAAGCTTCCCCACAATCCTTTCCCACTTGACGAGTCTTATTTATGAAACGTGATCGCAATCGATTTCTCCAATCTCGGTGCATTTTGCCCAACTTTTTCAATAATGGTTTTTTCATATTATCCTCCACAGCATAGTCATGCTGCATGATAACATCAAAAATAAAGTGCTAGCCTATATTATATAGTGAAATGAAGATAAATATTTCGGCTAATAAAAATCACATTAAAAAAACAAAAAGAAATACACACAATAATGTCATAATACAATAAATAATTACACATACTATAATCAAATAAAATACATTGATAACCATGTCAAATAAACAATTAATAAATTATAATTAACTGTGAGCCGAAGTGGTCCAAAAAAATCAAAGTAAAATCAAATAAAAATGAAAAACATAATATATATGCTAAAAAAATTAACAAATAAACTCACTTTTATCAATGTCAAGTATAACTCCCTGTTGGTTTCCTCAAGTTATCAATGTTGAAGGCAGGAAACTCATCATCTGACCCTTCCAGGACAGCGAATCTGGATGAAGAACGGGTCTTACGAGTTGTTGACCCCTGTTTTGCCGTTGCCATAGTAGCAAACAGCAGGTTACAGGTTACAACGAAATACAGGTCCCCTGTTTAAACACAACACCTTTGGCTGACAAAAACCAAAGTCAAACAGTTCCAACAATAGCAGGTACAACTCTCTAATCAACTGTTGTGTTTCAAACAGACTCCTCCAAATAAAAGAGGCATTAGCCTCAATAGTGGCCATCGAAAAGTCTCCCAAGATAATATTGTGCTTGTAAGCAGTGTCATTGCTCTACATGTTAATGACACTCATAGTCTTAATTTGGATTACTATTTGTAAAACTAATCGTGCCATGCGCCATATAGGGAGGTGATTTAATTTCACTTCATACATAACAAAAGCGAAATTTAATGCCATTAATTTTTATTAGTTTCAATTTTTATCACAGAATCATTTTCAATAATGAATTTCTAAAAACAATCATTAAATAATTTTTTAAAATAAACAAGTTCATGAATTGTTTTGCTTATGTCATACATTACATCGTGTAGGGTGCCTTTGACTCTTGAAGAGTTTTATAAGACATATAAAACCGTACCTTATCTTCAACCTCTTTTCAAAATAAACTAATCGCAATATTCATAATCAAACAACTTCATCAATAAATATGGGAACAATGAATATCATTGGAAATATACTTTAATCAAAATACTTTTATCAATGTTAAATGTAATTCCATTAAAAATAAGGGAAGTCTAAACATGGGAACAATGGATATCATTGGAAATATACTTTAATCCGAAAAACATTCAAACTAAAATCAAATAATATTGAAATCAACCAAAATATACCAAAAAATTAATTGATAAATGAACTGACCTTTATGCGATGTTGGCCGGAGCAGTCCACGCCGAGCCGGAACAGTCCACGCCGAGTCGTAGCCGTCGACGACGTGCCGGAGCAGTTGCAGCCGAGCGACCAGCGGATGCACGGAGGCGGACAGACGGTGGGAGGCGGACAGACTACGTCGGCTGCTCGCCACGCTTGAGATCGTCGTCCTTAGCCCGCAGCTTGTTCCAATCAATCTCCTCGAACGGACGGCGGTGGCGGCGCTAGCAGATGCACGGAGGCGGACAGACGGTGGGAGGCGGACAGACTACGTCGGCTGCTCGTCACGCTTGAGATCGTCGTCCTTAGGCCGCAGCTTGTTCCAATCGATCGAGCGCCGCTTAGCTAGCTAGGGTTACAGAAAGCGCCGCACGCTTGGGCTGAAAATTAAAAAAAAAGATGATCATTAGAGGCGCTTCCGTAAGGAAAGCGCCGCACGTTTGTGCGAAATAAAAAAACGGAATTAGAGGCGTTTCATGCCCAGAAGCGCCGCACGCTAGTTTATTAAAAAAAAAAATCGGAGACATATTGGAGGCGTTTCTTGCCCAGAAGCGCCGCACGCCAGTTTATTCAAAAAAAAAATTCGGAAACATATTGGAGGCGTTTCTTGCCCAGAAGCGCCGCACGCCTTGGTAAAAAATAAAAACAAAGATATTCGTTTAACAGAGGCGCTTGCGCTGAAAAGCGCCTCAAACAAAGCGCCTCCGTTTGACGTTTTTCCACTAGTGTAACCCGAGATCTTTCGGGTAATTTCCGGGTTTAGCAAAAAACCGACCCAGACCAGACCGATCCCATCCCTACTCCTATGGTTGAATTTTGGACTAGTTTTAGTCCTATTAAGGGCTTATACCCGAAAAATTCTAAATCAATTTGTAATTGGACAACAATACCCTTGGAGACTTGGAGTTTGGCAACCCCTAGTGCCCCGCCAAACCGCATGACTTTCATACGCCGTCGCCAGAACACCACAATAGCATATTCTCGCCGCCGCGTCGCTAGACTGCCTTTGGTGTGTTGGGGGAATTAGAGTGGCACTTCATTACGTTAGAAGATTATGTTTGGAACAATAATCCTATTTATGGAATATAAATATACCTACTCTTATTTTGAAATATTTGAAACTTTATACTCCTATTTAGGGCAATGTCTCTATAATATTTATTTATTTTACCTTTTTTTACTTAAAAGTGTGCTTAATCACATAATCTATAGAAAATAATAATGACAAATATATGACCATGAAGTTGGTGTATTATTGTATTATATATCAAAAAAGTAATTTTTTCAAAGAAAAATGCCAAACTATATTAAATTACCCAACAATTTGGAGTTACAATCAGACAAAAACTCAACACTACCTAATATATTCTAAAAGACTATCTAGACTCAAGAAAAGTCCTACGACCAAACTCTGAGACGGGCATCTCAAAAGAAGCAGCATGAATCACTGACAATCAAAAGGGCACAGAGTTCTTTGTGACCCTTACTCACCACTTTAACAAATTCAAAATAGCTGAAGAGTTCTCTCAGTCCCTCATCAGACATAGAAAAATTCACCTAAAAAATAGCAAAATTTTTTGTTGAACATGTGAGTGATTTTAGGCAAATAACAACCATAAGCACTCCAAAAAAACGTACACAAGAAAACAAAAAACATAGTAAAAAGTCTAAAAAGAAAAACAAAGCAATAAATCACATGTGGCTAGATCCAAACTTGAAGCGTCGTTTTCCAAACCCTAATCACACAATTCCTCCATAGCGGCGGTTCAGGAGGGGGGTGATAAATCCGTATTTCAACACGCATTTCATGCGTGTTGAGATTGGTTTTGGTCTGTTATCCTAGCTTAAATGTGTCATAAGGCTCATAATTACCTCAAGTCATATATTACCGGGGTTTGGTGTATGTTGGTATTTTTAGAGTCATAATCAGGGGATTTAAGCCCGACATCAACGTTTGAGAAGTGTTCGAGAGAATTGAGCACATTTGAGGGCTAATTTGGAGCATTGGATGCCAACGAGATGATTTAGACAAAGATTTGAAGACAAAAGAGCTCTAGGATTGTCACTACGGGATTGAAAGATGACTTAAAGAGCAAGAAACCTAAGAGAACGAAGATTTTAAGCCACGCACACCGTGATGAAGTTCGAAGTTACGCACGCCGTGCGTGGGAGCACAAATTTCGTAGATGCTACTAGGAGCCGCGCACGCCGTGCATGGTAGGGACGTACGCCATTCCCGGCGATTTCTTGCCTAATCTACTCCGGACGCACGGACACCACCCACACCATGTGTGCCCCCTCCAGTCCTAATTCGGCCCAGATTCCACTTTTTTCAATATATACAACATTTAAACCATTGTTTCCGTGTTTCAGAGCTTAAAGAGAGGCCTAGGACAAAATTTTCAGATCCTTTCCGCTTTGTTATTCAAGTCCTTGAGATTATTTGTAAGTTCCATATTTTTAATTAATGACAATTAATTATTTTCATCTCAATTCTCTTAATTGATTGCTCAATTATGTATTGTACGTGAGTAGTTTTAATTTGGGATTTGGGATTGATGAAGGTGTTAATCATGATCTAGGGTTAAACTCTTGAGGGATGAATTGCATGATCTTTATTTAATTTGTGCTTGAATAATTTAATTGATATCTCTTGTAACCTAGAACAGCTGCTAGGATTATAATTGCACATAGAATAAATTAAGAGATATCTAATTTATTCTAGAACACTTTCTCATACACTTAATCGTTCGCTAAGAGATTCGTAAGGATTAAGGAGCCGTACAGTCGCCGTTTTGGTAATAATTTAGTAACCTGTCGCATGAGAGATCAACTTAGTTCCTTAATTTATTGTACTCTACGCTGCGAGAGCGGTAAGAACTAAGTATTGACCAGCGTTGCTCAATTAATTGATTTTCATGTGATTAAGCCTGATCAGCCCCGAAATCTGATTGTCGCGGAATAATTTATGTTCATTTTCGTCATTAATTAGAAAGAACCCATTAATTTAACTATTTTTCGCATTTTAATTTCTCAAAAATCTAAATCTCGCACAATTGTATCTAATTTATTTTATTTTTAATCGCTGAATTTAGTTAATTCCTGATCCTCTTTTTTTCATCCCTGTGGCAACAATACTCGTATTACGACCGTTTACTACTACATTTTCATTAGAGCGAGAAAACTCACATCGGTTTTTGGCGCCGTTGTCGGGTACGGTTTCGGTTTTAAGGGTTAATTAATTTCAGCGACTAGTTTTAGTTTTCCGTAGGATTTTTCTCTTCTAACCGTGCAGGTTAATTAGATTTGTCTATGCATATACGTTCCAACAAGGGAGAACCACTTGTCCCTCTTAATCTCAAGATTGAAAATCTCGCAAGACAGAATTGTGAGAGTAATGGAAAGGTTACTCCCTAAGGAGCCCTGACAAATACTAAGCCTCTAATAATTCTATTACACCCTCTCAAGCTGTGCGGGAGATACAACGCGCATGTTGTCTTTTAAAAAATGAAAACGTTGACTAGAGAGACTTTTAATAAAAATATATGTCAGTTGTAGATGAGTAGAAACATGCTTACCAATCAGATCTCCATGAGCAACCCGTTCGCGAACAAAATAATAATCAATCTGGATATGTTTACTGCGGGCATGCTGAACCGGATTTGCAGTCAAATAAGAAACAAAAATATTATCACACAATAAATGTACCGGCTCCGTGATCGGCCATCCAAGTTCGAACAGTACCGACCGGATATGCAGTGTGTCTTTGATGTGCACTTTGTCGCGGTGTGCACTCAAAATAAATACAATACAACAAATACACGTAGTATATATAGTGTAGTAAGGTTCGTATCCACAGGGAAAGGAATATTAATCTTTTATGTAACTAGTAACAAGAGGGGGGATTTTATGATTGTTGATAAATTTAAATGTATTTAAACACTAAGATGAACGACTTATGTGGTTTACTTTAATAGAGATGAAGACTTGGTTTTTCTTTTATCCACTTAATGAAATGTTCGTCGATCCCGGTTATATCTTTAACCATCTTCCTCTCGAATACTGAATC